ATTTGGATAAACAACCTGTGAAATTCGTCGCACAGAAATACTGAAACCTCTCCAGTTATGTTAATATGGTTAAAATGCATTTATTTTTCGATTGTTTTCTTTACATGCAGGCTTCTCTATGGTAGGGTGTCAGGACGGGAAAGGATGTGACTATTAAATCAGTTATTGTTCTTCCCATAATAGTAGAAATAGAAATGTGAAATTGTGCACCTGTTTTTGGTAAACATCACCCTTTTTGTCACAGAAATATTTTGATTCAACTGCATTTTTATTAGTAGCATACATTTTTGGGGGGATTTATCTCCTGTCCTCTGCTCATCTTCCTGGTTGATCAAGAATGATTGTGGGGTTGGATGTTTTTCAGAGTCTGCACGTCACTGACTGGCTAAAAAGTTCATCCATGAACCCATACACTTGAGTCATTATGTATCAGAAACACCTCTCTTGGAGATAAGACATGGACCTTTTTTCATTTGTATCAAGCAGGGAAAAAGCACGATGTGTTAATTTTTACTAACTTGACATTTCACATCATGTGATGTTACTATGGTAAATGGATTGCATTTACTGTATGTAGCACCTTTCCAGTCTTTATGACCCCTCAAAGTGCTCTTACATAAACAATCAGCATTCACCCAATCACACATTCACAGATGCAGAGGCTGCTATACAAGGTGCCACCTGCTCAGGAAAACTAACATTCACACACACACCGTTGGGAGCAGCCTAGGGTTACGTTCCTGCCCAAGGATACATCGGCATGTTGATTGCAGGGGATGGAAATTGAACCACTGAACTTCCAATTGGTGTAAGACCACTCTACCTCACACCCCCTAATGCATATGTGCATATTGCGATGTTTATGCTGAAACAAAATGGTGTGCAGCCCTGTTGCACATTGTCACCTTATCACAATAAAGCTGTTAAAGCTGTTCACATTTTTGACCCGCTCTATCGAAATCAGTCGGAAGTCACAACGGCTCATTTCAAAATAAACGTGGATTTGCGTAAAAAAATAGTTTTTCGGGGTTGGGGTGTTTTGTTTGATTTTAAATAAACAAAGTCTCGGCTTTCAGAATATGAAACTTTTATTTCCAAAATCACACGATAAATACATTTTTGAAGCTTGTAAAGGGAAGAAGGCAGCTCTCACTCGCAATCTGCTCCTCCGGCTGAAATTATGAATGTAAGGCGTATAGTAATCATAGATAACACGACAGGGTCCGTTACAGTTTGTTTTCATCTGATTTCAATCAAACAAAGTCTTGGCTTTCAGAATATTAAACTTGTTTCGGCAAATTCAGATGATAAATACAACTATGAAGCTTGTAACGGCATAGTTACAAGCGGAGAACGGAGTAACTTTACGTCACAGCAGGCAAAACAACAGACGGTGTTTCTTGTGAGTGTTTTCCCCGGGAAACAAACACAATACACACAAACGCAAAATTACACAAACACACACACACGTATGCACACACGCACACTCGCGAGCTTCCCCCAGACCAGTAATCCAAACAAAAATATCTTCCCTGATCATTTGCTCCGCTAATAATCAATCAAATCGATGGATTCCAGAGAAGAGGAAACTTTGAAGGCCTTTTTCTCAAAATGATGACTCGGTGACAGTCATTATATAATGTGACATATTTTGCTTAATATTTGGAGTACAAAAACAATCCTGATATCATTAGAAAGGTAGGAATCTCCTCTTTCCAACAGTGTATACAACTCATAATGTGTCTTCGGGTCAATGCGACTGATGTCGATGGAGCAGGTCACATTTGTAGGAACAGGACTACCTGTGATGATTACACATGTTACTGCACAAACACAGCATGAGATCAAACAGAAGTCGATTGAACCACCTTTTATTTCTTTCCAAAGCCGGACAGTGTGAGAGTAAGTGAGAGAGTGAAATAGAGAGTGAAGGGAAGAGGACATAAACCACACAGCCCGGCCATTTAATGTCTGTACAGCCCCAGGCCTGTGTTAATGGTGGTGTTGTACAACACATTACAACGGTGCTTGTGCCCTGAGCAGACAATCAGACTGGTATTTAACCCATCCACAGGCCCTGCAGGCGACCAGGGCACTTAGCAGCCCAGCAGGGTGCTGGAAGACACTCTGACCCCAGCAGGGCCACTTTCTCTGCTGCTGGCTCTTACTTACAGGTTAAAGCAAGTCATCTCCTCATTCATTTTATGAAAAACGGCAAGGACATTTTTATATTTTCTAACATCTTTTTTAGTGTGTGTGATGTGTTTAATGGACTTAAAAAGAGAAAAGGTGATGTCAAGTAAAAATATCTTGAACTGTACGTCATGATTTTTGCTTCATGGCATCAGCTTTCTCATTGATAAGAGACAACATTGTGTCCGCAGAACTTCAAGACTTATTTTTTCATCGGTTTCCAGCAGCTAGATTTATCATGGATGCACAGTTAGAGGATCAGAAGCAGAACCTGGGTTTATTCATTATGATTTAAAATAGTAATAAGCCATTTCCATTTGTTTCAGCACCACATACAACTTAAGCATTACATTTTTCACAACAGGAGTTGGAAATGGGTTAAAACTGAAACTCGTTCTAACTACATGTTGAAAAGTTAAACAGACCAATTCCTGCCTAGTTTAAACGTTGCCATCAAAACCAATATTTAATGGTAATGCTTGAGGTACTACAAGCAATAACGTGTAGTAAAAACGAGTTAATAGAGTATGAATAGTTTGAAGATTAAAACCTTACACCACAGTTTTCTTCCAGCCATTGCTGTTCTCAGGCAGTGAAACAACAGAGGATGTGTGCTGAGCTGAGTGATGTCTCAGCGTGTCAGGGAACAGAGGAAATGAACTCTTGCTGCTACATGACATGAAACAGCACTTCCTTAGAAAAGGTCACCTCTTGGGTTAGAAGTATTTGTTTCAGGTTTAATAAATCCAAAAGAGTGAGAGGCCTTTTTGACACCTCCAGAATGAGTGTGGCCTTGAGTGTGTGTGTTGGAAGGGACTTCCTTAACTGTTTATGTGAGTGAGAGAGAGTGTGTGGGCGTGAGTTTAAAGTAATCTGATCTGAAAGCAGGTAAATCCCATTTTACACCCGAAACAAAGAAACTTACTGATGGCAATCTCTCTGTCGTTTTTACTCTTTTTTTTCAGAGGAGGCTAGAACTTGAAACGACAGTCTTTATACGCAGTAACTCACTCTGGTGTACAGTACCGTATAGATTGAAGCAAGAAAAATCAATAGAATATCATCTAGAAAGATAGTAATGGATTTCTAACTTAATGGGCTCACACAGGTCTATCGATTAGCAGGATTAACATCTGCAATACCTCAACAATCTGATTTGCATTTAAATTACTGTACGCTCCGTGCTGACACCAATATAACAAAACAGACATACGTATAGCCAGCGCAGCGGCGCTCGATTTTGAGGTCTGACATTAGCATAAATCTTGTTTTGATAAAACAAAAAGAAGTGTAAGGAAAGTTGCTGTGCTGACAAACTTTGAGCAGTTTTGTATTATGAATTCCAGACAAGGACAAAAAAGAAAGAACATAAACACGGACGGACTGGGCTTGAAGCCGTCTCCTGTAAGACTGAAAGAGCCATAACTCTTGTGGGGCAGCTCATCTGAGCCTCTCCGTTTGTGGAGAAACACTGTGTGTGTCTCTGTGTGTGTATAAATGAAGGGGAGAGGAGGGGGGGGGGCAGTGTGAGGTGAGATGTTGGGAGGGCAGCGAGGTGGGGTGGGAGTTTGATGGACTGCGCTGTCACCTCCCGCTCGGCGATTTACGGCGGCGGGGCTGCTGACGAGCGCGGGGCAGTAAACAGGCCGGTCGGGGGCGTATTTCACACAGAGCTGGCTTTTATGAAGAACACCGGGACGGCTTTACCCACAGCTCCGCCCGCCCGCCGTGACGGATGGAGAAAGACGCATGACAAGCTTCATCATTGTTTGTAAATCTTAACTGTTCCCGCTCACTAACTCCAGAAGGCAATTTTGCGGAGACAGCGGGGCCCACGGAGGGGGAGGGCGGAGGAAGAGGAGGAGGAGGCGGGAAGGGGAAAGGACAGCGTGGCACTCCTGAAGGTTATTTGGATCTCTGTATTTGGCCAACTGATTAGCCCTATCCTGGGAGGGAGATAAATCTGACGGGGCAGGTGGAAGGGGAGGTATAGGCTCAGAGATATTTCCTCCAGCTAGATGATCCGGAGGCACACAAGGTGTCCGGCCACAGAGAAACATCTCAGGGATTAAAAGGGGATGTGGCCGAATTTGGACGTACAGGTGTAAATGTCAAACTAAATCCGCAAACAGAATAATATTGTGTTTAACCTTATTTGAAAGACTTTAGATGTTTAAGTGTTGTTGGATATTAGGAATCATTTAGCGATAAAAAAGGCACACAATAAAGCCCACCTTTAAATTGTTTTTCTTTTTGATCAAAACAAGATTTCAACTGGAAGTGAATCATAAGCCGATCTACAGAATATTAATCAATAACTATTTTGATGATTGATTTGCTAAAAATGTTTAAGTAAATAAGTAAAAATTCCAAAAATATGTGTTCCCAGTTGCAGTTTTTTTAGGTTGCTTTGATAAGAAACTGAGTATTTTTAGGGGATATTGGAATGTGAGTCTGACAAAACAAGTCATTTTAAGACATGATCGTGGGTTCCTTCAACTTTTGACGGACATTTTCAATATTTCCTTCACACATTGTAGCCTAAATCATAGACAGGTTATTATTTTAATAATAATGAAACCCAACGGGATGTCATTTATCCTTCAACACACATTCATATTTGAGGAGCTAGCACCAGAGAGTGTTTGATGCTTGTGTGTAAAAATGAGCTCCAGTTCGGAAAAACCCTCCATGTCGCTCTAGATAAAAGCAGATGAAAGAAACTTCCTACAGAACCCGATGGTAGCCACTTTAGGACAGATAAGAAGTTCATTATGAGAGGCTCACAGGGACAGCATGCACACAACCTGCTGAGTGATTTGAACCCAGCTAAGATTTGAACAAGCCTTGGAACAACTTCAAGGACAATATCTCTTCGCCTTATAACTATTATCATTATTACTGGCTGCTGTCCCTTAGTTACACAATTCAACTTCTGTAATAAATCTGTAAAAAACTGTGCATATGCTTCCACTTTTAATACTATCACCTGGCTGCTATCACACTAGTATATGCTTCACTTATTATTATTTTTTAAATACTGTTACTGCTGCCGGATATGCATTTTGGCTCTTAACTTTTGCTGTATCAATGGAAATTCCATTTAATGCCAATGAAGATGTGGCAGTCGGCATTAGCCTGAATCCATACAAGTCTGTAAACCCTGGGCAAAGTTTAATACCATTTTAAGTTATATAAAGGTCACCTTATTCTAAATTAATCCATCACACATTTTTACCATCAGTGTCTCAATGTTGGTGATATATTTTCAACCTCATCTACATTGTATATAACTGCTCTGGTAAAAACTATTCTCATTACTTAACACTGTAGCAAAGATGGTAACAAGATGTTGTGTCAATCATTTTAATTTTTTTAAATGTTTGTAAAACACTTAAAAAAATGCACTGCTGACGAGTGTCGTTGAAATGACCTGGTTTGGTTCAATACTATAAATTAGGGGATTTGTATTATTATTCTAATTCGCACTGCTTGTTGGTAAGGTTTGTTTATTGCCTCTGTCTATCTTTTGGTTTTTCTGCATCAAACATTTAAGAATACAAATAATAAAATAGATATATTAACAGTATGTTAAAACTTGACTAAGGGAAAAATACAGAAAAAAAGACTTTAGTTAGATATTGCTTTCTTCTAATGAGTCACAAGCTATAAAAAAAGACTGATTGAGATGGACCACCCACTGAGAGTGCTGTTATCTTGTAATGGAGCATGGCGGTTCACGGTGAGACCCTCACAGGAAACGGACAGGTGAAAGTCAAACACAAATACAGGTTCAGAGAGATGGGGGAGTCTTAAGGCCTGAGATGCTGGTGGTGTCAGCAGCCTGTTGCACTCACAGAAGGATGTTGATGTTGTGCTAATGAAGCGTTCCCCTTATGTCCTTTATAAAGGTTGAGTTGTTCTTGGAGATATTTTTTTTTAAAGTTTTTAGACATATATTTAGAGATATTACATTTGTTTAACTAAACCTTTTCGGCTTCTTTAATCCCACTTACTACCAAAAGGAGAAAACCAAAATTCTATGCTTTAACAAAAATAAAAAACGGATTGACAGCACGAAAAAGTCACTTAACTGTGACTGTATGACTATTAACCGCATATTCTAAAAATATTTCTTTTAATATCTCTGTAGAGACACTAAACAGTATTGGAATTACAAAAAAAATGGATATGACTGGAACGAGACCCTTGTGAAACCAGTGCTGTTATTTATGGGACAGTGTTGAAATGGGGAGAGAGGGAATGATATGCTGCAAATTGTCCCAGGCTGGATTTGAACATTTGATTTGGAAACTCCATCACAATGTCTCGCCTGGAACTAATATATTTAACTACAGCATTTTTATTTATATAATCTTCAGGTAAAAAAGGGTACAGAAGTTATAGATACCAGGTATCTGAGAACCACTAAAAAACAAGACAATCGCTAAATATAAAGCAGGATATTTGGTGTTGGAAGTGTCTTTTAAATAAAAACATGCTATAATAAAAACCATATTGCCAGAAGACAACTATCAGTGGTTGTATTTTCTGGTGTGCCATGTTTGATGCATGTATACACTTGTCTGAACGAGAAGCAGAGTTGATATACTGTAAAAACTGTTATGGTGTTATTTTCTTTTATAATATCTGTCATTTATTTCAAACCAGCGTTGGTATTTTCTGAAACAGTGAACAGACTAATAAAGCCTGGCTTTAAAGGGGTGAAAAAGATCTTCTCACGGGTGCCATATTCCATCACAGTCGATCGGATAGGGAGCTGATAAATACCTGTGACTACTACCTGAGACCCTGCCTCCGACCTTTCTCCCCTGCCCCAAATGGTCCTGGACTCTATTCTTGACAATAAAGCTGACTTTGACTTTTGACTTTGACTTTGTTCTGATAATGAATGTGACCTTTCCTTTTTCCTTAGATCATTTTGAGTTATTTAACTAATCACAGCCACACAGCAAATGTTGCATTCCATACTGTACATACGCGTGCAAGATCCCTCTATGGGTAAAGACTGTACCAGCAATTCATTTGTGAAACTCAATGCCACTACTTGCGATCTTTCTGTGCTTCAAAAACACTTTTGAAACCTCTAAATGCACTTAAATCCACCAAAGTTGGAAAGAAAGTGTCTTACAAAATTGCAGTTTAAAATGTATTTATATGGTGCATTAAAAAAAAAGAAATCCCAGTAATGTCCAGACATGCCAATCAGCCCCTTTACTCCTCTCTGCTGCACTGCTCTGGATTTTGTTATGTAGTTACACTATGCACTTACATGCACTCTTTGCAAATACTTTACCAAACATATTAAGCAATCAGCAAAATCTGATTTACCCACATTCACAGCTACTAGCAGAAAGGCAGAAAATCCAGCAATGCTCTGCTAAGATTTACATCTGAGATATGTGACAGAGTGCCAGGAATGTAATGATGCGTGGTCAGAAATCAAAGATCAGATCTACTCCATCTCAAAATCATGAGGAAAAGAAACAGAGCTGCACAGTCGGGTCAGTGACAGTTTTGTGGTTTTAAAATTGTTAAGTTCTTTCTGCAAATTATAGCAAAAAGACGTGTTTAATTTCCATGATTGACTGTGGATAATAAACGCTTATGGCTGAATATCTGAGCACTCTTTTGATTAACTCTTCTGTCATCCTTTTAATAACAGTGAGGTAAGTAAGGCAGTTTGTAACACAAACATTGGACGCGAGTCAGACCTACTGTACAAACATAGCTCTGTATTTGAAGTAAAGTAAAAGAGTAAGTATAATAAACGTAAAAAAGCTTCACTTTTGACTAATTTTATCGTATACACTTTATGGCACTCTTGACTCGAGTGCAATCCTCCCTTGAATGTTCTTACTCACACTGTTGGTAAAGTCTGGGTAAAACTTTATGGGCCCTGATAAGAGTGTGTGTGTGTGTGTGTGTGTGTGTGTGTGTGTGTGTGTGTGTGTGTGTGTGTGTGTGTGTGTGTGTGTGTGTGTGTGAGTGAGAGTGTGAGTGTGTGAGTGTGTGTGTGTGTGTGTGCAACTCACAAGCTGCCATAGTCTCAGAGCAGTTGTTGTTGTCATCCACGCTGAAGATGGGGGGCACACAGCTGGAGGAACCCAGGCCCTGAGTCAGGTAGGTGGCTGCTGGGTAGTAGGAGTGCATGCGGTACTGAGAGGACATGTTGTGGCTGGACAGGCGGCCCTCACCATGAGGAATCTGTTTCATACAAGGAAACACAAAACCTCAACTTGCATCTCAACATGCCGTTTTTTTCGGATTTTTCTAGAGATTTTTCAAAATCCACGAAAGAGATGTTGGGTATTGACGGACTGAAACAGCAATATACTAACAACTATTTTTTTTCTTTCTCATTAAATCAATAATTGTTAAGCATATAAAAATGTCAGATAATGGTGAAACAAGTTTCAAGTGTGTTCGTTTTTCTGACAACCCTGCATCAAGTGTAGTCAGGCAGTTGTTTATGTTTGTATGGGATTTTTAAATAAAATTGGTATGGTTATTGTAAACTATTTTGTAATTTAATTCACACACAGGACCCAAGATGAGTGAGTCTCTAACTATTTATGGTCCTTCAGCCTCGATCAGGACTTAACCTGAGCAAAAAAAGGGGTTTTAAATTAAATGAAAGTATATTTTTTCCTATATTCTTTTATAACCAAACCAATGTAAATCTCTGTAAAGGGACCATAACCTTGGGTATATATCATTAGCCGCATGCATGCTAATCCCAAATACACCAGTGGATATACTCGTGCATTTTTTGACACAAAACAAAACGCATTGTCCTATGACCCCCTTCCTGTTTGACTCTACGGTCCTCCAAATCAGCCATGAGATATTCACAGGCAACACTTTAACAACCTTATCTGCCAAAAAGAAAAATAGAGTTAAAATACATACTACAAACAAATAAATGACAGAGAATTAGCAGTGTTTGAATTCACACGTCTGTGGATGGCTCTAAAAATGGCTTTCTCCAGTCCTCTGAAAACTTTAAAACGAGCTGTCTACTCAGCAGCAAGGCCGCCTCACGCAGGGTTTTCAATTTCACTTTTATGGAATTTGATTTCTGTCAGCCTGTAATATGTCACCCGTATTGTCCACACCATCAATTCTCCGACAGCTTTATAAACTGTTATTTAAGCTACACTCAGCTCTTGTATTAGGCCGTGAAAAATACAACAGAGATTGGACTGGAGTGTTGAAAGCGCACTGAGCTTACGGTTTGCCCGACACATACAGCACCAAACAAAACCTAGTGAAAGTTCCTACAGAAAAAGCCAAGTTTGTTTTTTCAAGCAAATGGAATAGGTTTACATCTAGTTGTTACAGGCAGATCCCCACTAAATAACTTGCTAAAACTGTCAATTTAACGCCTTATAGTTTGTCATTTCTCAATGGAGTGATGGGGTGAATACTATTTTCAGTGGTTTGTAGATTTTTCAACAAGAAAAAGCACAGATATAGCCAGTCAATCTATTGTCTAGTCACATGACAGTTGTACTTTCGCTTTGACACCAGGTTCACATCATACAATATTTGTTTCTATTACAATGGTCACTGTGTGAGATGAAGTGTTTATAGAGTCATAACAGCTTGCTGTGAGGGCACCTTCTTTCCATTGACAAGAGGTGTCCGAAAGCAAAGCAGTAATAATAGCTGGATTGTAATTTGTTCATAAAAAAACAAATAGCCTGCCTTTCCCATAGTTTGTCGGCTAATTTCGCTTTCGACCCTTATGGATAGAAAGACAAATTCTCGTCGTCTCTCCAGTTAGTTGTTTTTCACACCGGAAAATTACTTTAGGGAATGGGAACCGCGGTGCATTCTGGGGCGTGGCGGACATTTATGGAGGATAGAGTCTATAGCATCAGCAACAGCCGTCAATATGCATCAGCTATTTTGCATCTGAAATTAATAAAGTATGCGCAAAATATAAATGTCCGTCAAAGAGAAGCTCTAGGCAGAAACAGAGGAGAGTTAAAAATATAAAAAATAACTCAACGCATAACATAACATCCTGACCATGATTAAAACGCTTAAAGGTTGGGTAGGTAAGTTTGAGAAACCGGCTCGAGATACACTTTTAGTTATATTCCATGGAATGCTCTTAACATCCCGATAGCAATAAATATCTTAAGTGCTTTGACAAAAAAATCCATAAAGAAATATCATCTGTGGAAGCCGTAGTACTGTAAAAAGCACGACCAATCATTTTAGCCGGCCCGGCTAAAATAACTGGATGGCCTACCTGCCTGTCAGCCTTCCATCTGTGCACAAACTTATCTCGTGCCCTCATTGGTCATGTGTGCGTTTTTGTGTGTTGGAGGAGGGGCTCTGTAAGGAAGTGGCAGATTTTTTCCGGCTGTGTATTTTCAAATTCTAGCGCACTCGAGCCGGTTTCTTCAAAATTACCTACCGCACCTTGAAAGTGGAAAGTTATGCTTCTCCGCCCGCTGTACAGGTTAAGTTAATAGGTTGAAGTCTCTAGTATCCTCCAAATATGGACGACTTGCCGTTGATGACATAATAAAAGCTTTATTTATATAGCACTTTTCATACAGCAGGTGCAGCTCAATCACACATCACATTCCTATTCCCTATAGGTGTAATTTTCCAGGGGCAAGGAGTACACTTTTGGCGCATTTCCACTACAGCGCGGAGCGCGGTTTAAGCGTGCCGTGCCAGGCCCGTTTTTGGTTGTGTTTCCACTAGGCGTAGTTCCGGCTAGCGGGTACTTTTTCACAGTTTTCTGGCTCTCCAAAATCGAGGTTCTTTCCGGGCCAACAACCGGGCTGAGTATGCTAAACTACTGAGAGAATCGCTGGCAACTACAACAAAATGAACATATTTGACCGTGATTTCATTGTAATACACGTTTCAAAATGATGCCGAAGTAACAACATACTGATACCGGTTAGTAAAAACCATGAATTAATGCTTTGACAAGTCTGCAGACAAGACGTGTTTTCTCAATGGAGATTGGCTAAGTTAACGCAGTATATGTTCCGACCGTCCACACTCACAACAACGGCCTATCCAGACATAAATAAAGCAGCGACTGTATTCACCATGACACAGACAGTCTGTGGTTTGTACTTGTTTAACTTTTGTCTAGTTTCTGAACAGATATGAGGAGCTGTGAGCTCTGAGGGCTAACAGCTAACGGCTGATGTTTTGGTTTTGTGTTTCGCATTGAAGATGACGTCACGGCTCTGCCTACACTGCGTTACTATAGTTACTGCCCCAGTTCCTAAACTGTAATGGAAACGCAGCATAAAGTGAGCCTGGCCTACCAAGGCCTAACTATACCGTACTAAGCCGTGCGAGGCCCTGCAGTGGAAATACGCCATTTGTTTTAAATGATTTTGTGGCTGTGTCTTGTATTTTTGGCAACCCTTATTTTCTTGTACAAGTTGAGTAAACCAATCACCTCTCATTACACTAGTGCTCCATTCATGTGACAAGTGGTAATACGGCTCTGTGCTGACGCTGCCATTGTGTTAGCTTAAATTGTAGGTGAGCGCTGCGTACAAAGTAAAAATGATTTCCACTTTGACATCATTACGGGGAGGTAACAATACAAATTAAACTAAACTGACTCACCACAAGCTTTAGGTGTGCAGATATTGTATTGTCATGTTTCAATCCAGGATGTATTTGTGTCAACTGTCACGTCTAAATCTAAAGGTTATAGGGAATGCAAATGAGAAGCTAAAGGACCCTCTCATACACTCCACTATTTGGGTGGGTCTTCTTTCCAATACATTTTAACAACATTGAAGAAGTAAGGTAACATTAACTGAGATAATACCTCTTTAGTGGGTCCATTACTACCATTATCCCTTCTGTGTTCAAGCAGCTTACGGCCAAACCTACAATACTCAGTGAGACTCAGAGAATACACAATATAACATACCAACCTTTCAGTACTTGAGCTCCACAATATGTCGTTTTGTGCGAGTAGTGTTATTGACATATTGCCTTTTATTTCATTTTAGATTACTTCTCGACCTTATAATAATGGTTGACTGCCTTCATTTTTACACCATGAATGACCTGTGAGCCACTGTTAAAAATACAATTCAATCTTGTGTTTCCGCCCAATGTACCAAAATCACACTGAACAGTGACCCCATATCCAAGTTCAACCATAAATTGTGCGCAGTGTTACACAGCTAGTATCAACAGAAGTGGTTGTAAAGGCAGAGACAGCGTATCTAACAGCATAACAGCATATTTAGGATTTTATTCCTATGTTTTTATAATAAAATGAATACTCAGATACAGAAATGTCAGGATCCTTGATGACTTCATCAGGCTCTTACTTTCGGCGTGCGCCCTCATACCAAAATGCTGATTTTCCGCGTAAAATGTTGAAATGCCAGAAAACAATATTTCAGTTCATCAAAAAACGTATAATTACTCAAATTATCATAGACGGCTTTGTTTTTACGGAGCTCCGACGTCACGTTGTTATTTACGTCAGCGGTGCCATCTTGTATACGGGCCTCATGTTCTCCCGACAATTCATATACATACAAGATCAGCGCCACAGTATTGCCCTCATACTATATTTTTCTAGAAAAATGTCTGTTCATGACAACTAAAATGAGATTTTCTGAATGCATTTCTTGACACTAAAAGGTAGACTTTTTTCTTTGCACTGATGCCATAGGGGAGGAGAATGTTGCCACACAACCAGAGTCCTCTCTCTAAACTCACTGGCTAACGTTCTGACTCGTGGGAGGGCTGCCATACCTCCCTGAGAGGGCCTGTCTCCTTATCTGGCACCATCTCCTGTCTGGAAGCTCTGCACCACCCTTATATTATCATCATCCACCTGCATGACAGCCAAGCACCACTGAGTGCACAGGAGAGCAGAGGAGGAGGTAGATGAAGCGCTGATAAAGACCACAGCGTTTCCTTGAGGGTTTTCATTTAGTGGTGGGAAAAGCTCATAGTTCACTGGACTGTGATAATCGCTATTGATAAGATAAGCGTGATGATTTAAAGGAAATGAACATTTTTATAGCAGGTTTTGCCGCTGAGAATAACACTATTTCAAAAAGGTTGCCAGAGAAAACATTTACCTAAATCTACTGCCAAATGTTAAGTAATTAGTATAACAATTTGATTGACTAAGAACACTATATTAAGATAATGAAGGAAGTAACTGTATGCTGTATTATTTGTTTTTAATTTCAACTTTTTAAATAGTTTTATGCGTGTTAACTGTTTATTTTGTGGTGTTTAAGTGAAGAAAACTGCAAACTAAGTAGCAAATTATGGATTTTAATGTCCAGCCGTAACATATACTGTATATATAGATTCATAAACGTCCATTATGGCACTCTGTCATAAACAGAATGACTGGGTTTCAGGCAAGCACTCAAATTAAACTAGCATTAAGCTCAACTCAAAAGTGAAAATTGACATTTGAATAATACAGTTTGAAATATATATAGTTCTAAAAAATATGTGGAGTCACAATTCCAAACCCACCTTTTCAGATCTGCTTTTAATCTGTAAATATTGTTGTGTTTTATTTTAGTTTGTTGTTTTTATGAATTTGAACATGTTAAGTGTCTTTGAGTAGCATCAGAAGTAATAAAATGTACTATTATTATTATTGAGTAAATGTTCACTAGATATTATTACAAAGAAAAGAGCGATACCTCTAGAAGAAAAACCCAAATGGACAGAAAGTCAATGAGAAAAAACTTGGCAGCTCTCTGGATGGTGCAGAAAGACAACAGTGGTAAGTGCTTTAACTTCAATATGGAGACGAAATCTAAAATGAGCAACTCAAGAATAATCACTTTTGCTGGGGATGCAAATATCTGAGTATATTTCCAATACATTGTAGAGGTTAGGACAGGTTAAGGAAACAGAGAAAACACGAGAGAATATTTGGCTTTAACAGAAGATTGACAATTTCTCAATTCAAGCAATACTAGTAAAAACTGTGTCTATTTCTAGAGGAATATTTCATCAGGTCCTAGTTACAAACTGTTCAACTGTGTGTGTGTGTGGCACAATATACTCATCTCTCCAAATAATCAACTCTTCATGCAAACACATAAAAAAGGTAGTCCCTGAATTTGAATAACCGTAGCACGTTGCCCACTCAACCTGACAACTTCGCTAAAAATATCATAAATCAAAAAGGAGGATGGCTAAATTATGCTAAAGAGTGCTAACTGATTAGCATTAATGCGCTCACTTTCACCTCCGAGCGCTGAGGCATAGCGGTTTGTTCCTCTGCCGACAGACAATACCATTAACCTTTGCAATTCAGGCTCTGCCGTGCGCCGGCGGGTTGGCGGAGGCACTGACCCCAAAACTAGATGTTGCTATTGGGGGAACGGAGAGGGGGGGGAGGGGGGGCTAATGTTGTTCATAAAAACAAACCACCTCATCTGAGATCACTGGAGAGTTATAGATCTAATTTGCTCCATGCACAAGCTCATCTCATTTGACACAATAGAGATACATTTAGGCATAAATCAGCATGAATATATGGATGAATGAGGGTCCAAGTGTGTGTGTGATGGTGGGATGTTTGGTACTACACCCCCCCCCCCAATGTGTCCTGCGTTATACCGTAAGTGCTGACATTAGAGCAGACACTCATCCATCTCTAAGGAAAACAAAGAAATAAAAAAGTTTATATGAATCACTACTAGAAGCAAAGAAAATAAACTTCAAATGTCCACAAGGTTGCCTGAGCATGTCTCAGTTACATCACTGACATATCTGAGTGGAGCTTCATCCCTTCTTCTTCTTTTTTACATTTTCTTTCTTTCTGTGTTCTGTAAATCTGTTATTTTTTATACCGGGACTTCTTTACTGCCGACATGATTAGTCAATACAATACTTTGTCAAGGTGGTTCTCTCTAACTCACCTGGTATTGCTGGTAGTTGTAGAGGTTTCCGTAGTAGGCGGAGTATCGTGAAGGCTGGTAGAAGTTGTAATATGAAGTTTCCATCAGCAGGTCTGAGGACTCCTCGGTGTGAGCCCGGGCCCCGGCTGAGAGGCTGGGGGACAGACCCGAGTGACCCCCTGGGAAACACACACATATCTATTTAAAAACCTTTAAAATGCACTTCTTAATAAATAACTCCCTTCTTGTTTATGTCTGGTATTCAATTCAATTTAATTATCTTGTGTTTTATTCAATATGGGAGTCTATACTTATTTTATATTGTCTTTAAGGTGCACTGTGATCCCTGTTGTGAGATGAATTGTGAAATATATTTCTTTTACTTTTTAACATGTTATTGTAGTCTTTATTTGTATTTGTAAGTTCTTTTTTAAATACTTCAATTTCATTCTACTGTATTCTGTTTTTATTTTGCTTCTGTGAAGCACTTTGTTATTATGTATTTAAGATTATATAAGACTTTATTTTTCCCGACGGAAATTCTTGTTACAAAAAGATACAATAATAATACTAACAGTGCAGTAAAAAGAGCAACGGTGCTTTACTAATAGAATGTTTCAATATTAATATAATAATAGGGGGAAGACACAAACTATAATGTCAGAGGATAAAATAAGATGTCTGTGATGGATTTTAGATCCTTATTGCACGTATGCATTATACCAATTGTAACTTCTTTAATGTTATATAATTGTAAAACCTTTCATGATTTCTAAGCAGAGCTCAAGCTAAATTACATTTATTCTGAGCCTTTGCCGACCGTTGAATCTTCAATGAAACAGACTATCTTTCAATCAACCAAAGCGTATTTATGGTATAGCCCAGTATCACAAATGTTACATTTGTCTTGGGGGGCTTTATGCAGAATATGACACCCTCTGTCCTTACACCCTCACATCAGACAAGGAGAAACTCCCAAAGAAACTCCATGGTTAATGTGGGGGAAAATGGAAGAAACCTTGGGAACAGCCACGACTCCTGATCCAGGCAAAGCCTTTAATACTGACAACCTGCCAGTTGACAGACACAAAACACTGTGGGGAAGCTGGGCTAGTAGCATTCATATTTGTGACATGAGTATACAGGTACAGAGAAAGAGAAAATAGAAGTAAGGTGTCCCCTGACAGTCTTAGTCTATAGCAGCATAACTAGAAAATGTGTTATGTTTATCTTTATTTGTAATTCTTGTAGATTGACTGTCAAAATGCTGCTGTGACAAAACAATTTCCCAACTTGGAATGAATAAAGTATCCATCTATCTATCTATCTTTCGGCTGATTCAAGGTAAGCCTTAGCCACTCCTAACTATAAGCTTTATCAGAAAAGTAAAGTCTTAAGCCTACTCTTATGAATGGATAGGGTGTCTGCCGCCTGAACACAGACTGGAAGCTGACTAGCCAAATGCTTGTTAGCCAAATGCTCAGGCTCTTTCTGGTCGGTGCACTCCCTAACTCAAATTATAATCAACAGCACCATCTGCAGGTGGCAGGTATTATCTACGTCATAGAAGCAGACCTAACACAACACACCATCACAATGCAGAAATACGTGCTGGCCGATCAGGCGAAGATGACCATCATCATCATCACCTTCATTACTTTTTTATCTGTTGTTCTTTCCTTATCAACAAGGCCACATTGTTCTCGGGATGACCCTGATCTTTCACTTTACAGAATGAAGACACTGTGCAACACTGAAGCCGAAGATAATGACATGCGTTGTCCCTGTTGTGATTAATTTCACCAGTGAATCACGGAGTGCTCGACTCCCTTCCTCACCTCAATCCTTCCTCTCTGTTGCCAAGGCCCAAAGTTCATTCTCACAGAAGCACAAAGCAAAGAAGTCAAAAATGAGCAGCCTTGACCAACGTCATAATCCAACTCCTCAAAGTGTTCTATCAGTGCGGGAACATCATATCTGTGTCTGGCTCCACAGCACTGCTCGGAAAGAGAAACAAACTGCCCTTTCATATTCTCCCAAAATAATGTGTCTGATTAGTGATGTCCATAAGAGTGTTCTTCTGATGTGGATTTATCCTTTTTTGTTTAAAATATTGAATTCAAGTTGACTAAACAGTCATCTTTACAAAGGTATTAATATGTACAAATATACCACAAACACAATATTATAGTGTCTTTGCTGCCTGTTAAACTAAAATCTTCGGAATAAGGTTTTACTTGTCAATATGTCAATTTCTTCACAGGAAGCTTTAAAAATAACATAATATGATATCCCCATCTTTAGAAAGCCAACTGATAAAAACAATCTTGTGAATTATGAATGTTATCTTTCAACTCTTCTAAAGATTTTACAGAAGACATGTGTATGTTCTATTAAGGTGGACTGACTTTAGTCGGACCAGTTATTCTGCAATTTGGACACGTTTTCGGCAGTTTTGGTAACGGCCTGATGATATCTGCTTAATTTTCAGAGCAGGTTAAGCCTACTGTCTTTTATCAATTATCGGAAAAACCTTCATATTTGAAATGATAAAGGGTTGAGATCAAGTTTGACTTAAGAAATTGTAAATCTAAATGTGATATCAGTGATTGGCAAAATGTTTTATTCAGTAAACTACATTTTGTGAGATTGCACGCATTAATCATTAATTTATTTATCTATTAACTCAACTGCAAAACAGCACTTTATAACTGCAGCTGTGTTTTATATGCTACATTTCTAATGTGAATTCCAGCAAATATTTTTCAATAATTCCCAGAGCTTTTGTTTGGACAAAATGAATTTATACTGGGGACATGTCTCCACCACTTTCAGAAATGGCCAATTGTGTCCGCCTAATCTTTTGTTTTGGTTTCCAAAATGGATGTCACGTGCTGCGAGGAACTCTGGATGAGTTTGTTAGGGACTGGTCCCCAATTGCACCGTACATGAAGTTAGAATGGTCAAGTGTTATAACTGTGGGCGTAAATATAACATAATAAGTAAGTACTCACACATGAGAGAGTACTAGGTTACTACTGCTGCTGTTTGTTTTAGTGTTTTGTGGGTTTTATCACATTTTGTTGTGTTGTCCTTAATGTTTTATCGTCTCACCTTGTAACTTCTGAAAATAAAATAAAAAATATTGAAAGAGAAGATAATTTGTTAATAATATTCTGAAAATAGTGTACACAAAGAATTGTAAACTTATTTTGCACAAGAGAACATGTTCAACCCCGAGGACTGTTCACACTTTTTGGGTGTATTTGTGCAAGTGGAGCAATATGGACACGTTTAATATTAGTAATAATTTAATAGAGAATAGTAAAGCAATTGTTGCTCCAGTTAATCCTAGCTTAGTTACTGCCCTAGTTGTCCAAAAAAGTATTGTATGAACGTATGTATTGTTTGCGGGGGGTGCGTAATGCAGTAGTGTTTTTTTTTTATCTGAAAAAGGTTACCTCACCACTTTTTCTAACAAAGTGACGCCCACGCCTGTACAGCAGTATAATCAGCATTACTACATTAAAAGTGTGACATGCGAGATACGGGACAGATGTCGGTTGTGGATACCTCACCTGTGACGGCAAGAGAAGAAGCGGAGGTGCTGGTGGGTGTCAGGGCTCGCCCCTCCAGGGAGAACAAGCAGTCTGCCCCAGCCTCATTCTTCACCATCACATCGGGACCGCTCAGAGATACCGTACCACAAATCCCAAGCTCCTCTTCCTGAGCCTGCTGCCGTCTCAGGGCGACCTTGAGGGGGGAGGAGAAAATGAAAACCAAATATTATGCTTATCTACTAACTTTGTAGTACAGTCTACACACTGTAGACTCTACAGCTTGATAATGTAAAGGTAACATACAAAAATAGTTAAGTAATTAGTAAATGATTACACATTAATTTGACTTTCTGAAATTGAATTTACCTAAATTAGCAAAAGTATATTTATGTCTCTGCACAACTCATTTGAAAATTGTTTGTTATATTATTATATTGAATTATTGATGATTGAATGTGTTCAGCTGGTAAATGTTTATTGCCAATCTGTATTTAAATCGAGTATTTCAAACTGTCAGATAAATTAAATAGAGTAAAAAGTACAATTTGGGCCTCTGAATTGCAGGAGAGTAGAAATATAAAAGTTGCAGGGAATGGAAATACTAAATGTAAATACTCAAGTTCCTCAAATTTGCTATATTCCCTAGTTTTAAAATGTATAATAAGTGTTACATAATCTCAAAATATAACTAAATTGTTAGTTCAAGCTAGAAAGTTACAAAGTAGGCTATTCCACCACATATGGCAAATGTATCTGCTCTAAAAACGGTATTCATATTATTTATCTAGAACGGTCTGCTGTATGCAACACGTGTAAAAATACACACATGCAAGGTGGACATTTTAGGTGTGCTATGTAAAATGTAAATGAGGGAAAACAACTTAAGTAAACTTAGACACATTAGTTAAAAAGTATACAAACATAATTTTAAAATATGTTACTTAGCAGTTAACGTAACATCACAACCCAGAAACTATTTGCTTTCACGCCAAACCTCTAGGTTTAAAATATATCCTTTTCGAATCAAGCTAACATTAGCCGGTTAGGCTTAACATGAAGAAAGTTTTTTAAATTACCTGGGCCGCCATTACTCTCTGCCTCTCTGCTATAAGCTTGCATTTTGGACACTGGCAGTCCCTCCAGTTGCAGAACCGTTTGTGTCCCTTCAGAGGAGACACATAGCCGTGGTTTCTGCAGCGGGAGCACTTGGGCATCCTCGGGGGTTTCTGGCGCTTGGATGGAGACATAGATCCCGGGCATTGCTGCACCTGCTTGCTGCTCATGGCTGCCGGATCAAAAGTGCCAACTGCTCAATCTGGTCAAAAACAGTCCAACTTTAGCTACTATGTTTGAGTATGTCCCAGACTCGGGTGGTTAAAGATGTGCACTGGAGCCACTGGTGACAGGAGGATGGAGCCTCTATCCAACCGCCCCGCTGTAACATGTGGGAGGGAACACGCTGAGCTGGGAGAAGATTGGTATCACCGAAGACAAGTGACTGAAGTGACTTTCAAACTGTGAAGTTTTTTTTTTTCTCAAACAGTGTAAACTTTACATTTTTTGGCAACATTTGTGTATACACTGCTGGCTAGCTTGTGAATCCTCCTAAATTAATATAATACAGCTTTGTCTTTTTGCTGATGAGGATATTTCGCATTAGCCTACATTTTAGAATCTGCAAAATGTTCAAACTAGTATAAGTTGTGGGATTTATGAAAACAAATCTTAACTTTTCTGTGCCAACAGTTTTCTCTCAGGATTTTATAAAAATGTAGTAGGCCTATGTACTGTATGAATGTTATAAAAAGTTGTAGATGTTATTCTTGTCTTCTGAATGTGCAAATCAATTGTTGATTTATGTTATTTTGAATGATTATGTTCTTCTAATAGTTTACATTTGTATTTTGGGCATTGTCTTTTTACAATTGTAAAATGTTATGTTTTATATCCGTTTGACGTTTGTGATCTGTAATATTTTTTTTAAAAGGCTGTGGCGAAGGAAACATGATCCATCCTGCAGCTTAATGTTTCTTAAATTAAATTAAATGTTTACTTAAGTAAGATGTGTGGGTAATCAATGAAAATACAGATTTATATTCTTTAATTGATGTTTATTGTTATATTGCGTAGTCTCAGGCACTTTCTCATTGAAGGATGAAAGTCAGTACCTTGATGAATACTAGAGGACAGACAGCTTATATTACATGAGACAGACGGAAAGAAAGTGGACAAAAAAGGAGTAATAACTAAACTCTAATAACCACTGTATGTACAATGAAATACATATATCTGCATTAAAAACTATACTTTGATAAATATATAACTTCATGGGTCGTTAAGCAGTAATAGGAAATATTCAAAATACTGTGATTCTTCTTTTTAAATAGATACAAAGGATTTGTATAAAAGTACAATTTCTCCAGTCTACGACGCATCGATGCATTGATCCGCACGAGTTGTACACACACTGCAGAGAGCCGAGCGCACATGTCTGAGGCCGGGATGTCGAGGTGAGCAATATATACAGGAAATATTTCCTCTAACATGTGGTTGGATTTTTCGGTGTACTCTAATGCAAAAAAAAAAAAAAATCACAAATGTTTGGTGCTCTTGAATGATCAACATAGAGCCTTAAAAATAAAGAGAAAGTTGTCAAATTGCAAAAAATATAAAGTACATAAAAAATGGCAATTAGTGGTTGAATCTGTGTCCGTGTTGGTTAGCTGATTATTACAGGCGGATCCGGATGGGACTTGAGGCACCAGCTGGTTACATTCATATTCAAAGGGCACTTTGGGCTAGTCAGTGTGCACATAAATAACAAATATTTCCAGACATCTAATTGGTTGGTGCTTGGGATTGTGTCCCTCGTCAGCTGTGGGTAAGGCAGCGTGATCCAATAGCAGCGCAGGGTTTGTTCTGAGAGGCGGGGCACTTAATCGAACATGCTCCTCCGAGTGGGACTGGGTGAGGTCTTTCTGCCAAGTCTAGGGGTCCCCTGGAACACAAGAGGTGCAAAAGGTTAATGTGACAGCTGACATGTAAACACACACTAAATTACAAGAACAGAGGTTGTTAAGGCCAAAATAAGTAGAACTTTTTTCTGCCGTTTATGTAGCTTTCTGTTGGATGCTTTGCTATAGGCTAAGCCCCAGAAACATCCAGAACATAGCAAAAGAAGAAAATGCACAGACACCACCGTGCACTTGCAGTGGGTCATTTTCTGTGATTAACAGTGAAAAAAAAAGATATTTTCTGTAAAGAACCCTACTCATTGCATCTTAAAAAGAGTGAGTGCATGATGAGGACTTACAGGGGACTGGGCTTTGGAGAAGTTGACATGTGCATACAGCAGTACTGCAATGTCCTTGTGTCCTGCTTCCAGAGCGATTGACAGGGCATTACTCTCATCCTGAAGAGTAAACAAAGAATGAAATATGAGTGAAAAAACAAACAAAGTTGCATTATTCAGAACTAAAGTCCTTCCAATATATACAAAGGGTATGCATGCAGTTACCAGCACATTCTATGCATGATTTCTAAAATATTTCTGTTTATGTGGAGTTTACCTTTAACTTAAGGAGCCATATTATGCTCATTTTCAAGTTTCATATTTGTATGTTGTGTCTCTACTGTGACATGTTTACATGTAATGCTTTAATGTTCAAAAAGCTCTTTATTTTTCTCATACTGCAGCACCTCTTTTCACCCTCTGTCTGAAACCAGAGTCCAGTCTGCTCTGATTGGTTAGCTGGCCAGCTCTGTTGTGATTGGTCAACCGCTAAGCCTATCACGTACAATGTGTTGGAGCACTAGCCTATATTAGCACAACTGTTACATAGTGATGTCACTATGTATGAAAATAAACAAAGAATTCCAATGCTGATGGGTAGTTTGATTGAGAAAACAAAGCATCATATTTGATATGCTCTTTTTGTGTTTTCAGTGCATACAAAGTTTTTAAATTAACTAAAGTTATTAAATGAATGTAGTGGGGTAAAACAATTAGCAGTTGATAAGATATAGAAACAAAATAATCAAGTACACATTTGAGTACCTTACTTTGGTACAGTATTTGAGTAAATGTAGTGTTACTTACGCCGTCGCTCAGGGTGGCGTCACAGCCGGGCTGAGCCAGCAGCAGTTTGACGATCTCCACGTGTCCGTGCTCGCTGGCGCACATCAGCGCCGTGGAGCCCTCGTCGTCCTGTATGTTGACGTCGGCCCCGTGAGCCAGCAGGGCCCGAACCATGTCCATCCTGCCGTGACTGACCGCCAGCATCAGCCCCGTCTGCCCAGCCTGAAGAGGGGACAGGTCAGATTAGATTCAACCTTATAGTCACTGCACAGAGTACAAGTACTGGGACAACGAAATGCATCTAACCAGAAGAGCAAGCAGTAAAGTGTAGTGTAAAGGAATGATACAAGTATATAAATATGACAGATCTTAAAATCTCAATTATAGAGTATGAACAGTAGTGTAAATAATGGATAGGTTAAATATTTACACTCCAATGAAATATAAATTACATTTATTGTATTATTTCTGTTGGTTATTCATTCCATTTTTGCCTTATTTGATTTGCTTCATCGCAGATTATGTAGATTCACATTGTAACAGTCACTGTATTGTTTATTAGGTTGAGTATGTGAAACAAATAACACAAAAATAGGTTGCTGCCCTAGAACATATGTCATTAAAATGAATAATCTGGCAGGAAGAGGTTTATCACACTGTATGTGATTTGAAATAAAGCTAGCAGGAAATCTTCTTCCTGATCTTATATTAATAATACAAACTGTGTCTTACCATCAATATCAGCAATCAAAACATCACACATGTAGTAGTCTAACATTCATGAATGTCACAAATCCTAACAGTTACTTTCCTTCACCACTTGGTGTCATCAAAGTACTATTTTGCAACTTCAGGATAAAATCTGAATCCCCCTACTCAGGAACAATATATAGAGATAATGAAGGAAACTTACATCATAGAAAAAAACAGTAGTCTTTGTCACATGGAAATGACAAAGACTACTGAAAAGAATCAAACGGAGGGAATCGATAGACGGCTCAAACAAAAAAAATGAAATGTTGATTTCTGTACTCTTGATTGTGTGACATGTTGATCTATTAGGTTTTTTATGTTTGTGAATCTCAATAAAAACTTAAGTAGAGGAAAGAAAATACAATGAGTAAAGCCATAAGGTAACTGATCAAAGCAAAAATAAAAGAATACTTAAGTCTTCAACTGAGAATGATCTGCATGATCTGACTTTCAGTCTATTGGATTTTCTAGTTATTCACAAAAACTGCTGGTTTTTTCCTTTTAAAAACACCTGTATACGCTGCTGGTTTCTCACTGTTAATTTCTGCTTCCTGTTAGCTTTAACCGGCTTAGTTTATAAACAAAAGAGTGCCTGATTTGCCCTCACAACCTTAATTTCCCTACTCATTGAAACCTGAACCCTGTGTTTGTGCCCTGCTGCTGCCTTCTGACCTCCGACCTCTCCGTTACTGACCTGGCTGGCCCGAGCGTTTACATCGCCCTTGCTGAAGAGCTCATCCACGATACGCATGTCCTTGGGCGACTCCACTGCGGCCAGCGCGGCCAGCATGATGGGCGTGTACCCTGCATTGTTCTGCTGGTTCACGTTGCACACATCTGAAACACACACAAACATGTTTAAAATCACTCTGGAGTAGCTTGGGGGGAGTACTGCTTTTTCCAGTGCGGGTGGTCCTTGTACACTTGTACGCTACGTCTCCTGTATGATCGACTTGTCGCTGCCTGTCACTCAACAACACAGTAATGCACGAGGACGTGTGTCGGGACCATGATGCATTGTCTGAACCCTAAAAGAACTCATCTGCAAAAAGAGACAGGACATCAGAGCCATCCGATGGGAGGTGAGGCGGGTATGAGAGGGGCTGCCCTGCCTGCTGAGGGGAGGAGGGGTTTAAGGAACTGGGAGGACAAAGGCTACAATGGGACCTGGGGGGTGGACTGGCTGTCACAGAGCACAGCGAGACAAAAGGCAGAGGACACAAAAGGCTTTTAAAACAGCGAGTGGCCGGGACCTCATCACACTCTATTGAGCCTTCAGGGAGATGGCTGAGTGGCAGAGGAAGTATTCAGGGACTTGAGTCAAGGCACTAAAGGCAAAAACTTTTATTTTTTCATGAGATTTTAAGGTATTTTGCAGTCATAACATGTCTTCTTTCAGGATAGGGGAAAGAAAAC